AAGGGGAGGGAATACAATGGTTCACCCCTACCCGGGGTCCTCCCAGTTGCTGGAAGGTCACGCCCCCATTCCAAGCCTCAAACCACAACAGACCCCTAAGAATGCAACACAGGGGCAGAATTCTGAGACCAGGAGACGATATTCAAAATAAGATAATTTCTTTCTTCTATTTGCTTTGAGCACTTCTCCCTTCTAATTTAATAGCAACTGTTGTAAAGCATAAAAACCAGATGCACCAGTGAGAAGCACTGTGTTAATGGATACCACATGTTAAAACAAATTGCCTTCTTCCAGGACCTCAGGTGCTTCAGTCTGGGAACACCAGTTCATTGAATACACTTCAGTCAGAGAGCATATCCTAACACTAGGCAACCCAGGACCATCTCTCCCCACTACTTCAAGTAAATGCCCAGATCCTCACACTGAGGGCAGGACTGGAGAGCACCTGCATCACCCTCCCAGATGGTGCTTTGCTGAAAACATTCATAGTTAGTCTGAACACACACCAGTTTGGCAGAAATTTTCAGCCAATTTCTTCTCCCTTCCAGATTACAGGCAGTCAATGCAATCAAAACCAACTGATAAGTTTAAAAAAGAAAATATTTGAAGGTTTCCTACCAACTCTTACGCCAGCAGCTGTCTCACCTGGGACAAGGATACAGAGTCTGTGCAGGACAATGATTTTATATCCTAGAACCCTACTGAAAGCATAGAGTTTGTGAGAGCTGGGCTAATGTTGTCCCTCATGCATGGACGCACGTCGCATCCACTGAAAGCACAAACACCAATGAAATGCTCACCCCATCACTGTCAGGCCATTAGGGACTTGCCCTCACCACTGCGTGGAGAGCAAGGCACTGAAGGATGGAGTACTGTCAGGGTGCGTGGCAGATGATGCGGCCCTCAGCAGTGATGAAGTAATTCTTGACCTCATGGTTTCTCCCTTTTGCTGCCCTCTTGCCCTAGGACAGCCTCGGGCCCCACAGTACTGCACTTCCCTAGAGCAGAACCTGCTTTCTGAGTACCTCAGCCCATGGCACAGTGACGTGGACTTCCCAAAGGCACCATAAATGGAGACTGACATCTCAGCTGGGCTTGTCACACACTTCCGTGGCATCTCTGGAGATGTCTCAGTCCAGAGGCAGATTTTGAAAACAACATTGATTTGTGAAGGGACTTTGAGCCATGAACTTGTAAGCAACAGCTGGTTCAGGTTTACCAGAACAGTCTTGCAGCAGGAGTCTAGTCTAAGAAGATAAAGACATCAAACTATTAATCTGGAAGGCAGGTCCCTAACTTAACTTATTTTCCAATCAAGAGATTCAAAACAAAACAAAAAAAAAAAAGGCAATAATGAGTTAGCATCTACCCACATAACCAATGAAACAAGCCCTTTGTTAAGAGCTTAGAAACAAGGATCATGGAAGGGTGAACCCTGCACCTCTAGTCCAAGGCAAGCTTTCATGGCACTGGCAGTCCTGCCCGGGCCCTTGAACGGCCACCCTTCACTGCCCTTCCCAGCAGGCTGCTGCTTTTCCAGGCGAGTGATGCCCAAGCTGAGCAGAGAGAGTTACAAGAAAGGAGTCACACAGAGGAGAGGGGAGCAAAGCAAGAGCAATGCAGACTCACAGACTTTTCCTGATCAGCTCGGAGCACTCACATGCCAGATGCTCTGTACACTGGGAATGCACATTACTGATCTCTCAGCTCAGAAGGAAGAGCAGGATTTCGGGGCAGGAGAGCACAAAGTCTGTCCCAAATACTGCAGGGAAGCTGAAAGCCCATGCAGCATGATGCCAGCCACGCACTTTCTAGTCAGCCACAGCTAGCAGGGAAAGCTTTCTGGGGTGAGCAGTTAGGGTGTTTGACCACAAGAGTGTTCTGCCAATGACCAGGCCCAACAAAAATGATACCACCACCAGCAGGAAGATGAACCAATACACAGACTGTACTGTAGACAAGGACATTCCATGAATGATCGCTGGGGGTACAAACAGATCAATCAGCTGGTACATAACTGACGCCACCCCCAACGATCCCACAAAGGACGTAACTCGGCCCACAGCAGGTGGCACAGAGACCGGAGGTTGCCCACAGCTGGCATGGGAAACAGCCAGCCCAGCCAGTTAAACACATAAGAGAAAGGTGCCCACATGGCAACTCTCACCCGATCAGCCCGCGCTCACAAAGGTCTAAACAGACTGGGGCCCAGCTCCAGGGAGAGTCAGGAGGTCTGCCCTGAACCAGGACGCTCTGTGGAGTGCACTCCACAGACAGACACTCCTGACTCCCTGCAAGTTGTACCAGCTTTTATCCCCAAGCAGACACCTGACCTTTGTCAACTCAGTGTGGGACCCCTGGGGCTCATTTCCCTTATGGCTCTCCCTGCAGGGCCGGCCGCACCCTGGGGGGAAGCTATAAGGCAAACTCACCACCTCTTTATGAAGGGCTGTGGGAATCACCCATATGTCAACCTTAATTCGGGGCTCGGGGTTCAAACCCCAGCATTTCAAAGAGACATTGAAACCAATGCCCAAGGTCACTGGACCCATTGTCAAATAGTTAAGTATGGTAAACAGTCCCCTTGTTCATCACCTGACAGCACAATCTCTGCCAAAACCTACATTTTAAGATGTTTCACATTCAGATCTGCCATTCTTGCAGATAAAACAGAAGCATCTTTGAAGCACTAATTAACTTGAAAGCCATACTCAACAACTGCACAGTAGGACAATCTCCAGCTTTAATGTATTTCAACACAGAAAATGAAAATTTTGGTTATTAAAACAATTCACTCATAAGGCATCCGTACTTATAGGAAGCAAAATACAACCATTTGTGCCCAATGTCCTACCATCTGTACCAAGCCTATTGATAAACCCTCCCTGACAGGATGAAATACTGCTCCTGTAAAGACATCCTTAACATAATACGTCTCTGCAGCATTGGGCAGGACTAGGTTTGAAAAACAGCCTTTTATAATACACAGATGAATTTAGCACTTAAGAAGATTAATGGATTCATAAAGAGCCTGGAAATCCAAACTCATTGAATTTAGTTCACAGAACAGGTCAAATAGGCATTTATCAAACCATCTGGCACCCTTCCTCCCTGGGGAAAATCTGTGGCCGAGCTACAGACAGCTAAGAAGCTATGACAGCAGGGAGGATTTGGTTTTCCCTGTACTCACCTTTCCTCTAGAAATCACTGGTGCTCATTAGAAAGCAGTAGATCATTTTGGACAGAGTGCTGCAGATCAAGCAGCCCCCCCCCCAAGGCATGTCTCTTGAAGCCACTGGAGATGCCACCTTTTTTGCTGGCAAAATGTGCAGGCAAATGAGCGGCTTCCCTGTCACACACAGCAGATGCTCCAGGAGTTCAGGAGTGCACAGGCATCTTGCACGAGTTGATGTTGGCTTTCTCCAGAGCTATAGTTTATCCTATGGCCTGTGGGACCATCCGTGGGGTTGTTCACAGATACACTAGGGTGCCAGTGCTGCTTGAAGCTGAGGGCTCAAACTGTCACCCCAGGCTGACCTGGCCCAGTCAATGTGAATGAACCTGACCCCAGGCACCTTTGCTGAAGCACTGAGCCCTTTCTGAAAAAGCTCATTTATTTTCCCAGTTATTCAAGGCCCCAAGTCCATCTTCATCTGGCCTGTCCTTTGCCTATGTTTCTGGGTACTCCCCAACATGTGACTGGGGAAAGGTCAGAGGCAAGGACAGCTACCTTTAGCAGTTTTTAGCCAACATGTTGTCCATACTGAAGCACCACCCCAGCAAATCACGAGTCAGGGCAGCTTACACTCTGCCACTGCTGCTCCATTACCCACAGGGACTGGGCCAGAGTGGGGGTGGAGGTCACATTCATGTTGAATTGCTCATGAAAAGGCAAGGGTTGGGGGGGAAAAAAAAAAAAAGTTAGGAAAGGTGTTTTTTTAATTAATTTCCATTTTTATTCCTATTTCACAACATTTCAGCAGTAATAAAGGATGTTATATGTTGTATCTTTCCATATGAGCATGTACACCATAGTATGACAAGTCATGTATAATGAATTCATATAGTTAAAATATTACAGAAGTGTTTTTCTCTGTAGTCACTCATTTTTTAAAGTGTCGCTACTTTACACAAACATAAGCACAGTCATGTTCCAAGTCAAAGTGTCTTATTTTTTATACTGCAATAAATATCTTGCTGTTTGCTCTAGGCCATAAAAAGAACATTCATGTTTACTCACAATCCTTGAATTACTCTGTTCTCATCTGAGTATCCTACAAAAAGCAGAGTAATTCAAGGATCTCAAAAAAAATCTGGGGTTTGAGCAGATAATTTATTTTTGAGAGAAAAAAAATCACATTATTTTCTTAACATGCTCTAATAGAGAAAATGTCATAATTCGTTCTCATCAAAGCAGCAGCTTTCACTGAAGATTTCAAAGATAAAACATGTAAGGTGCCATATAAAAGAAAATGCCAGCATAGTTGGTTAGTACAGCATAATATGACACACTGTGTGGTACATATGAGCGGTGGAAATACAAAATATTTAGTAGGACCTGGTTTCTTTTTCATTACCACGTTCTGCCCCTGTTGTCACACCAAGAAATAGTCTACAAGTAAACCAAAAATATTCCCTGAAATAATGTATTCACTGGAAAATAAAAACATATTTTAAATAGATTTTAATAAGTAAGCTGTTACATTGAAATAGCTTTTCCTCAAATTCTCAAAAGAATGTTTTGACAAACATAGGTCCATCTGGTTCTCCTGCATCCGTGCCAGGATAGGAGGAGGAGAAAGGATCAAAATCCTCTGTGTAGTCATGGCCAAAACACTGTGCCCATCACAGTCCCTGGAGCCAGATTCAACCAACCCACCCTGGGAGAATCTGGAGCCAGTCACCTCTCAGAGGCCCACGACACAAACTTTTCCCTAATGACTAGGTAGGTACAGGGACTAAACACTTAAGCAGGACCCATGTTCCATACAGCCCTTGGACTATTTGCACTGCAAAACAATCACTGTAAAAAGTGCCATGAGGTAAAAAGAGAAGGAGCTGGCCTTGATACTGTCTTCTGCTCCAGAAGAAACCTCTTCAGTCAGTCCATCCAGCTGCGTGGTGTTACTGTAGACTTCAGTAGCGTTTGCCACCTCTTCAGGAAGGCCCATCTGGAGCAAGAGCTTGGAGATAAGGCTGTTGAACTTGCTTTCCGTGGTAGACCAAGGCCCTTCACTTGGCGTTGGGCCTTCGGAGGTGATGTTTAGCTCCACAGGGTCAAGACAGTAACCTTCTGGTGACCTCTCATAGAGCACATCCATCAGGTCAATCCCAGCTACTGAGGAGGGGGAGGCACAGGGGATATCCCTGACAAGCCTGTAATTCTCCATCCACTCTTTCAGCCACTCAATGCGACAGTCGCACTCCCAGGGGTTGCGAAAGAGGTACAGCCGCCCCAGGAAGTACACCGGCTCGAAGACAGAAAAGGGCAGTGTCGTCAGGTTGTTGCTGTTCAAGTGCAACGCAACCAGGCTGGTGAGGTTTTCAAAAGCCCCTTCCTCAATGTAGTTGATCCTGTTGCGGTCCAGGTAGAGGACCTCAAGCTCCCCCAAGTCCCTGAACCAGGTGTTGGAAATGTTCCTGAGGAAATTCCCCCCCAAGTTGAGCATCTTCAGGCACCTCAGGCCATCAAAGGAGTTTTCTGGAAGCTCGCTGATCAAATTGTCATTCAGGTACAGGTACTCCATCTTCTGGCAGCCCTGAAAAGCTCCCTCATGAATGACATTTATCCTGTTGTCCTGTAGATTCAGGTATTTCAGCTTGCTCAGGCCCTGCAGAGAGTTATAGGCTACTGCTTCGATCCTGTTTCTCTCCAGGTAAACATGGGTAAGGTTCTCCATGCCCCTGATGGCACCTGGGATCCTCCGGAAGTTGTTCTGGAAGCAGAAAAGCTCCTGCAGAGCATGCAGCTCGATGAAGATCCTGTCTGGGATGTTGAAAAGATTGCAGTCTGCCAGGTCCAGCCTGACCAGCCGTCTGAGGGCAGTGAAAGTCCGCGTGTGGAGATAGCGAATGTACTCGTTGTGGGCCATCTTCAGCTCGGTCAGGCTGGGCAATCCCTTGAAAGCCCCCGGGGTGATGAAGGAGATATTGTTGTGGTTGAGTGACAGGGATTTGAGGGAAGGCAAGGTCCCAAAGGCCCTCTCAGAGAGAAACTTGATACTGTTTTTGTCCAGGTTGATAGAGGAGGCTTCACACGGGAACTCACTGGGAATCTGCCCCAGGCCGACACGGTCGCAGAGGACGGAGCAGCTCCGCTCCTGGGTGCACACGCAGCTGGCAGGGCAGGACCGCACGCAGGCCCACACCGCCTGGGTGTGGGGCACCCAGAGAAACACTGCCAGAGGGGAACGTGCCACCCCCGCGGAGACATGGGAGGAGAGAACCAGGGTGCATCGTTAGCAAGTACACCAGTCATAACGGGAAAAAGCAATTAGGCTGCCTTTGCCTCCCTTCTGGGCAGGCTAATGGCCACCCGCTGCTTGTGCGCCAGTGCTGACTGAGGAGCTCTCCTGAAAGACTCCTAAAAATCTTCTGCTGGGGTTTTTAACGCCTCTGAGACAGTGTGTGTGTATATATATATATATACACACATATATATATAAAAACTATCATCTAGAACATTATCTCTGATTAATTTCTGTCCCCAAGAGGGGGACTCACCTAGACTTAAGTATTTCTTAGTGTCTCTGTGGCTGCTGTCTCTGCAAGCTGATAGGGGAATGGTTTGGCTGAGATGCTTTAAAGGCCAGCAGCTGTGGATGGGTTGCAGTATTTTTGGGTGGTGAAGAGGGAAGGGCAGTGTATGCTAGTCCGGCTGTGGCCAGAAGAGATCAGTTAGCTGCCTGAGGCATGTCATGTTCACGCTTTTTGCTTCTTTCTTTACCTTGTTAATTCAACCTAACATTTCTCCACCAGAGCCATGAACTGGTGTAACACTACAAGGGGAGCTATCAACTCAGGGATGCAGCACAGTGTTTAAAAACACATTCCCACTGTAGAATGGCATGAGGAAAAACAAATTAAGGGACATTGTTCAACCGCTTCCTTGATGATCTCATTACAGATTAGATACTCTGCACCTCCAGCACAGTTTTTACTGTTTTGCCAAATCTCAAGGCAGTCACCACAGTGCCTTATGCTTGATGGGAGCTGCTGCGTTGTCCTTTTATTAGGCTGACGTGGGAGGTGTGTGGCTTATTGTGGTTTCTTTTCAACTTAGTCCCACATAGGAGGATGTACAATAAGGAAGAAAAGGAGAAAGCTCTTGGGGAGAAATTAGAGAAGAACAAAAGGAATGGGAAACATCCAGCTCCATGAACAGGCATGTTTGTGGGGAAAAAAGCATCCAGTCAATCAGACTTCTGTGAAATAAACTCATTAGACAGGAAGAACTGAAGGCAGAGCTCATTTTGTCACTGGTCTCAAAGGCACATCCTACCTGCTGCTCAACAAAATGAGGTGTCACACCAGTGTATTCTCCATGCAGTCATTAGCAGGAAATGGTGGGTATTGCTGCTGACTCTTTTCTGCTGCAGTTTATTGGCTTAATCCTTCACACAAGCATAATCCTTCTATATTATTTTCAACAAGACACGAGATACCAACAGCTTTACCACTAGCCACCTTTTTTGCAGCATTGCTGGGACCATGTTGCTGCTGCTGCATGCATGTCTGGCTCCAAGAGACAAGGAACAGGCTCCTGCTGACTGTCTGGAGCAAGAAGCTCTCAGCAGCTGGGCTGCCTCTCCCTGCCAGTTTGCAGCACAGTGATTGCCCACTACACCTGTATTCCCAATGGACCTTTTTATTAAGACAGACTAGTGAGATGATATGCCAGGAAGCATCAGCTTCAGCAAGCATTAAGCTTCTAATTTTGCAACCCCTAAGGCTTTGATGTACATATCAAACTGCAGTTCCAACTGCAATTGCTCTGCCCTTTCTACATCCTTTTTAAAGGCAACGTGCACTTTGCTGTACTTTTGCGTTTGTGCTGTCCGTGGCTTCTTCAAGCAGGAGACTTGCAAACACGGTTCCTAGGCAAGTCCCCACTGAAAGCATATCAACCCAGGAGATTCCCAGCCTGGTTCTGTTCAAATCAACCTGGTCACTGCATGCAGAAGAAGGATTTAGATGTGTGAAGGAAGCATTCAAGAACAACTTTAGCTGTGGCCTCTTTATCAAAATTAAGGTCCCATCAAGCCTGAGCATGCTCTTGTGACCAGAGATTTAACCAAACAGCATCACAACAAGGTTAAATGATAATGAAGGACTCCAAGAGGTGGAAAAGATTTTAGACAGGTTGTCAATTGTCATTTTGCTTGTTTATGTGCTCTTCCCCTTTTTCTTGAGCCCTTGTCTGACAGCCATGGCTAAGGTCCCCTTCAGCTAGCAGCTGGGGTACACGATAAGTGAGGAGCCTAAGGACAAGAGGGGAGATAACAGGCCAGCCTCAGATTGCTCCTTCTTTGTGCAGGCTGCCCACGGGCTGCCTCATTTGCTACCCTTTGCACCAGTTCATGCTGTTGCTTGCAGACAGGGGCATATGTCGGTTTTGTCATGCAGTTACATAAACTGAGGGCCAGAGAGATGAAGGATTTGCCGGTTCCCAAAGGCCTGACTGCAGGTGGCTGTCTGGGAAGGATAGATGCAAGTGTTGCTGCTGGAACAAGAGCCTTGCATGGCTTCAGGATGACATCCAGAGGAGCATATGTGGACAGGCTCTCCTATATGTGAGACTGTCCCAAGCAAGTTCAATGTTTTGCTACAGCTACCCCAAGCTCAGTCACATCTCTGGCCTTCAGAGCAGATCTCCTTCAGACCTTCAGAGCAGCTGTGTACATTGTGTGCGGCGTAGGAATGAGCACACTGACAACCAAATCCCATGCTTCCCCTCCCTGCTTGTTCTCTAACCATTTGATAAGGGAAACCCCTGTACCCAAGCCATGTCCAGTCTGTTCTCCTTACACACAAGGAATTTTTAGTGCCAAACCTGTGTCTTTTGCTACTGGTATTTCACAGCACACTTCTAAGATCTTTATTTACAAGGGTATCTCTTTGCATTTTGCAGTACATGGAAAACAAACACTTGAGGACCATCTAACTAGGAAATCCCCTGGAAACAGGAGCTCAGAGGAGCCCCTCAGCAGCACAGCCTTTGTGGCAAATCTCCCTCTTTCTCTTACAAACAAAGTCAGAAAAAATCCTCACTCTGAACCCCACCAAACCCTCATGACAGCTGCTGCTCAGAGCACAGGATATCAGATATGCACTGTTGGCAAGATCTCCTCCAACCAATGTAGCATGAAACCTTCCCACCTCTCTGTCTTTACGCTTTCCCCTGCTCAAAAAAAAAAGGCTGTTCTTCGCTTTTTATACTGTGGCAGCAGACAGGGCAGCAGCAGCTGGAAGATGCCTCCAGCTTATTGATACAAAGGTTGCTCAAATGAGATGTGTGTTTATGAGAAAGGGTAAAATACAGCAATAGGGTCAAAAATATTCATGAGATTAAAGAATAAACAAAATTCAACCCAGGGATGGTGTCTTTTGCTCTTTCAAACACTACCGCAGTTCAGTATTTGAAAGGAAGAGTGAGTGACTGAAAAAAATGTTCTCAGACTTTTTAGAAGGGTAAAGAGACAATTATTTAAATAACTGGACATTTAACATACACCTTTCCAAACAACCTGTCTAATTCACTACTGGGTGATGCAAAATAAAAGTATACTCACCATTTAAAATGATGGCAAACATTACCTTGATTATTCACTAGTGGCATTTCAGGTCTGGCAAGTGAACTTGAGGGATCTAAAAGCACACAGGAATAGCAGAGACAAATTTCATCCTCTGTCATTTCCCTGTACCATTTTCCCACAACAAGGTCTACGTTTAGAAAGGAAGACCAAGGCAAAGGCTCCTCTCCCACACACTTTCAAACTGAAGAAGTCCCCAGCACCCTCCTGGTGAACATCTTTCTTCTACCACTGACCTTCTCAGGAAATCCTGCAGCTTTCTGCTACACCCTTTCACAAGCTCATCCGCATTCTTCCCATCAGCTGTGCCAAGGGCAGGTTCCTATCATCTGAGGTGGGAAAAGATCACCAACAGTAAGAGACTGGCCATCTCCCCATGAAATAGGTGCTGGTACAGAGGAATGTAAATAGCTTAGCATCAAACAGCCAAAACTAAAATTTACAACAGAAATCATTTTAGATACATTGCTTACCTATCCAGGCAGTGGTTGTGTCCTCCCTCCTGCTCATGAGGCTTCCATTAGCCATACGAGTCAATCTCCAAAAAGTTGGCATTTTTTTCTCACAAGCTATCATTTAATGGCAGGAAAATCCTCTGTATCAGAGGAGGATTAGCAGAGATGGAGGAATGTGTCTATCCTCTAAAGCTCACAAAACAAAACAGGGATTGCAGACAAACCAAACTGATGCTTTCTCCCCTCTGCCAACCTACACTCCCCCTACCACTGAAAAAAAAAAAAAAAAAAGCTATAGTCCAGACTTGGAGCTCTGCCATTCAAACAGCATTGCTGAAAGTCATTACTCCACTCACCGTTATATAAGGGCAGAGGAGGTGGGAGTGGAGGGTGCAGCCTAAATGTGATTATATTTGAGGGCAAGCACAGGCTTATGGTTTCCCTTCACTGAGCTCTCCAAACCAGCACAGATTGCGACTCTCTTCCCCCTACGCACACTTTCCCATCCTCAGCGCAGCTCACACCCTGCTGACAGAATGCCAGTGTGCTTTGCTTTGCTTTACTGGGAATTGCTCCTGAAGGACAAAGAGATGTCAACAGCACTTGGAGAAGGGTCAGCAGACACAGGAGCTTGCATGGTATATATGGCCTTGACAATAATGAACTCTGCCTGCCTATGAGTGTGTTTTGATTGTGATGCTGCACCTGGTGCATGGAAATCATAAGGACAGGTTCTGTATGTGATGATGTTTTAGCATTCAGGAGGTGAATCTGTTTTTAAAGCCTTTTCTGACAGGATGATGATGGTTTGTTTGCAGAATAGGAGCTGAGTAAGTGAGTTATCTCAGCCTCCCTTGCCTTAGGTAATTGTGCTCACCATGTCAGAGGGGAAAATAGCTCTACTTTTTATTTCTAAGTGAATTATTCTGCCTTTTTTTTTTTCCCCAGGAAATGGAATACCTGACAAATTTATGCTTGATACAGCAGGAAAGATTCATCTGGGAAACAGCCTGCTGCTCAGTTCTTCCTGCAAATTAAAGCACCCAGCTACATTTGCTTTATTTTGCTTCGGCTTTCCCTCAGTCTTAAGGCATCTGGCTGGCACCTCAGGAAATTTGTGTCTGTCTAAATATCATGTAAGCAGTCTTGAGCTGGGGGCGGCAGGCTGGAGGGAAGGGGGTGAGCCATAAAACACTGATTTTATCTGAAAGACACCTTTCCCCACCACCTTGTTGTACCAACCCCCCAAGCTTTACACTCCCATGTTTTGCACCATGGTGCTTTGCGCAGGAGCAAAGAGATTTGCAAAGCCACCTGCAGGGGTGTTGCAGCCTCCACCATGAGGCTGAAGCTGCTGGGGACCTTGTGGGGGCAGGATTGGCACCAGCTGGGCCAACACTAGGGCAGCTGGTGTTCCCCTGAAGGTCATGGTTACCATGGTAATACCAGGAAGCCACAGCCTGTATGATCACAAAAAGCAGATCACTGGCCTTTCGATCATGAAGAAAATGGATGGAAAGGAGTAGGAAGTACTATTCCCAGCTCCTTTTCCATCAACATTTACCAGACCCCTAAAGGTGGTACTACAAATCTTATCTCCCCTGAGGTGCGCAGATGCTGTAGCAAGAGGTGGATGTAGTGGGCATGGGGAGCGTATGGGACTTGGGGACAAGTTGGTGTGTGATAAGTTTGCACTCCCTGAAGACTAGACTTGCTGCTTGTTTTGCAAAATGACACTAAATCTGCTCCTCAGAAGGAAGAAAGGGCTGATCTGCACTGAGGCACCGGGTTTCTGCTGAGACTCTGGGGCTCCCCTGTGCCTCACTGCTCTTCTCCCATGTACACAGTAAGGGACTGGTGGAGATGGGACATGAAGGACCACGGAGCCCCAGAAAGTGTTTTTGTCATCTGCAGAGCCCCCTCCCCCAGAGAGGCAGCTTGCAGGACCTGGCAAAACACATCCCCTAAGGAGGACCCTTGGAACCTCTGCTAGGTATGGTGGGGGTGGAGGAGTTGGGCTGGTAGGTTGGGGGGTTTGGGGCTGCTTGTTAAACTGGGAGCTGTACACACATCTCCTGGTTGGAGTTAGAACAGAAATAATTCTGTTCAATAATTTTACTTTTCATCTCAGTCTCTTCTAACTAACTGCACTTCCTGAAGTTAACAGCAGATTTTTGCAGACATTGTCTAGTAGTGATAACACTCTGTGTTTAGAGTTACTACTGAGGATTGTTGTATGGAAAGGCTCTTGTTGACAAGATTGTGTCATGCTCCTACGGAAACCAAGGTCACTGTTAAATCTTGTGTAGCACATTGAAAGTGCAGAAAGTAAGAGGGTGAACCTGCAGGGAGGAGTGGCCAGGACAGGTGACCTAAACTGACCAACAAAGGATTCCACCCCATGTACAGCATATTCAGTATAAAGACGAGGGATCACGAGGGTCACGTGCTCTTCTTCAATGGGCTGTGTCTGAGGAGGGCTCTGTCCATTCTGCCTTTGATCCAAATCTCTGTATTTCTGAATCCAGTTCCCAAATCCAGCTCCTGAATCCAGTTCCCATCTGCCACTGAGTCCAGTCTGGGACTTCCCCAGTGCCGCCCACAGCATCAGTGGTGACAGTGATGTAATTGCCTTCAGGAGGATGAGGTTCAACACTGGTTTTGTATATATTTGTACATATTTCATTTTATTGTTATTTTCATTAAAGTGCTCTCCGTTTTCTTTTCCAAACCATAAGTCTCTCTCCCTTATTCCCTTTCTCTTCCCCTTTGGGAAGGAAGAGGGGTTAACAGAGGACATCTGTCATTTGTCCAGTGGCCGGCCCAGCCCTAACCCTTGACAGCACCTCAGCAGTCACTTATGGGCGGGGAGAGGACAGTGGCAGCAGGTGCCAATTGCAAAATCAGGAGCAGTGGCCTCGCTAGCAATGCTGCAGAAGCGGGGTCCAGCAGGAGCTGGAGGAAGGCTGGCAGGGAACACCACTCAGAGAGCTTCTGCAACAGGCAGCCTTACCGTAGAGCAGTGCAGGTATTCTTAGCTCCTGCAGGAGCTTCTGACAGCAGCTCTGACATCCGCATCCAATCAGGATTTGAAACCCAGCCCCATTTCCAGCCTTTTCTACTGCAGTTGGAGGTAGGAATGGCTGAAACAGCCCATGTCCTGCCCCATCATGAGCCCTCCCACCCACAGCTTCATCAGCCAACCTGGCCAGCAGGAGCTCCAAGGCTTACAACAGTACGTTTGTTTGCATCATCTATGGGCAGGAGCCTCACGTACCTCCAGACCACAACACAGAGAAGATGTGACTATCTCAGTATATGCATCGGGGTAGGCTGGCAGGGCTGGGGGGTGGAAGACACACTGAGGTCATGGTTTCCAGGAAATTCTCCCACAACAGGTAGCCAGCTGGTCAGGAGGCATTGCCCTGTGAGCAGCTCAAGCAAGCACTGCAGCAGCACCAAGCCTGCCACCCAGTGCCTCCCATGAACTTTTGCCAGCTCTTGCAACTCCTGGTTCATTTCCTGATAACCCTTGGTCATGAAAGGGCATGACAATGTGTGAAAGAGGCCTGGTAATGAGCGGTTTCTAGTCTTAGGTAGAAAATCTTAAATGCTAGAAGGTACATAAAGGAGACTAGCATTTATTCTTATAAAAAAAAAAAAAAGAAACCAACAAAAACTGGGAGCTATAACCACACCTCAGCATTTTTCAGAGCATGACTCACCTCTGGCTAACACTGAGGGTGAGCACACTGCAGACGTTCAGTGCTGGGAAGCTGCTGTGCCTGCCAGGCTGCAAGTAGACTCAGAAGCTACAGACCTTGCTACTGTGGTTCTGTGCTGTTAATTTTTTTGCTACCAAGGTCTCTTCCTCATGACCTGTCCTGCCTTTTTTAATCTTTGGGAACTCAGAGAAGCCAGAGGTCAACATAGCGGTGGAGACAAGCCCAGGAAGCAGCAGAGCTATGCTGCCACTGAA